GCAGCCATGGCTAAAATGCTAATTCACTGCATTGTAGCAACCTCAGCATCGGGTTTCCAACTGCTTTAGTTGAATGTATGATCTTCCATACGGTGGGGGGTAAATGTTTTGGGAACATTCAACGGCCGTTGTCACTTTTTGTTTACATCATGTTCGGAGGTGTATAACACCCCAGCTACTACACCTCAGCTAATACCTCAGCTAATGCGCCGCATTAACTTATCCCTGCTTACTTGATCGTTCACGATCCAAATCATCTATTCTAATCGTTACTGCAAATTGACATTAACAAAAACCTAAAGCGTCAATCATTGTAATTGACAAAACTGTACAGTCGCCGGGAATGCTACAGAAGTTTCTTTTCTATTCGTGTTTATCATTCGCGGAACGATCTTTTAAGAGTTAGTTCTTTCTGCGCCTACACTAACCATACTTAAAAGGCGGTTGAATGACGCACTCAGCCTCTTACTTTATGTTACTTAACATTAACTCTATCGTACTCTTAAGATATACATTGAATTTATCATTTGTTACTGATTGGCGCATTGAAACTGCGCGAAGTGCAAGGTTACTGCATTACAATTGGTAAGTCCTTCTTTAGATGGTAAAAGTACTAACAGTGTTCTTAGTAACTTTCTCGATAATCCTACCAGACCACAAAACGGGAGTTGTAAAGCAGTGGTTCTTAACCCGCATAAAATCATTGTTCATTGTTCAGTGATGTTGCTTGCCTCACCACGACAGCGTGTTCGCACGAGTTCATCAAGTTTTCCACTACTGGCTGCGTGAATTTTTGGCATGAATGTTTAAACTTTCAGGAGTCAGACTACGTTGATCCTACAGTATTTACCTTATCCATGTGTATAGTAGGACAAAACTAAGTGCTTGACAGCGCCCATCATATTTCACACTGAGTACAGCGGCAAATTTATTGCGCTAGGATGATAGGCACATGCAAAAACCAGGTCAACTTCTAAGCTTACTTCGCGTAACTGTTCCGTGAGGGAATCTCGAAGCTGCTTGTCCTTGAGCTCGGAATCTTTGTGTTGCAAGTATGCTTTGCGTTTCCGTTGACTTAACTTCTCTTTGGCTCTCAGCAGTGAATCCCAGAGTTCCCGTTTTGCTCTGGCGACCGCAGTGCATCGGCTGTTGTGTTCTAGTTGTTGCATTCTACGTCTCATTGCTCGTTGTGAATTATCGAGTGAATTAACGCCTGTGCATACCTGAAACAAAGTATGTGCGAAAGTGATTTGGATCCAACATGACGGTGATTGGCTCCATTAGCAGCAAAATGTATCACATGCTCTTTCATAGGGTGCAACAGGTAGCTTGGACGATGAACTCATTTGTTGTTTCGATAGAGTACCGCTGTAAAAATGCTGAACGTCTCCTGTCACTTCCGGGTAAGTATCTTGTGAAGCTCGATTTACTTCGCAATATGGTTAAATTTATAGGTTATTTATAAACTACAAAGCATCCCATCTGTTGCATTACCTTAGTTTGCTCAATGTAGTTTCTACGATTGACTGAACGACATCGCTATGTGAATGGCTGATTCCACACAGTCGGGTGGGATTGTGTCAAATGATTTTTCTTCCAGCAGTACTGAAACAAATTACGGTGCTGTTACAAAACTTGCCTTCACCTTTCTATTGGCTGATCAGCCACTTGTTCGATTTGTTCTATATTCCATTTCTCTGAAACATGCAAGCAAGTTTAGCAGAATTATTGCTGGTAAAATGCTCCATTTCTCTAACTGCCGAGTCATTGGCTGTGCACCTATGTGGATCACTCGGTAGACTCCCACAACGTCCAGCAGCTGGTCAGGATACAAGCTTGGAATGGAATACTGATCAGTAGTTCAAACGCACTTAAAACCTGTGACACCCTTGGGATATGAACCAACACTATGTCCTTCACGCTAGAAGGATTAGAGTAGTGCAATCAAGCTCTCCGTGGTTTATGTAATCGGACCAATACATAATAGCAGTAAAGCAATTGTACATAGACCTGCTGAAGGACCCAATGCCTTCCATTAGTATATTGCAACAGCCGAAGCACTGGGCAATTACAACTACGAATAAAGGATTTAAGTACACCCTGCTGTGTGCAAGCATTCAAGAATGAATAAACATTCGCATCAGTATATAGACTCATCCCGCACTATTTTCTATTGATGTTTTACAATGAAATCTCCGTGGAAAATTACTGATGAATTTAGACGTTTCATCAGCAACGTCATTTAGTGTATGTTCAAAGAACATGAGCCAACAAGTCTGCGGAGAATAACAGCTTGTCTTCGCAAGCGTGAAAATTGTGCTTTCGTTTATCAGCTCAAATAATACCACGTCAGGTCAAGGTCATGGAGCAGTCTGAAAATGTATCCACAGCTCTAGAATTATTGTATATTACCGTGTATAAGCAGAGGACCTTTGGACAATTTTCTGTGTTTATAGTTGGGGGGTCGGCTTATACAAAAGCTATGCGCAATTTTTAAAAAATCACATGCAAAATTCACCCAGAAATTCACTGCACACCTATGCCTCTATCTCGCCTTAGCACCACTCGCTAGTGATAGACGGTGTCCCAGGCGGTGATTTGAAGTGCCTATAGGTAGACAGATTATGTTTGTGTCGAAAATTCTCAGCATATTGCACATTTGACTTTCGCGACGGGTGGCAGTAAGAGAAACATACCGATTATGCAGAATCGAACATTATCACAACACAATAACATCGGAAAAGGACAACAGAACAGCACGTACTGGTAGATTTTATAGGCTCAAAATATCCAAAAGCTGCACATGTTACTACAATTACTCGAATCCTTCGAAACTAGAATCCGAGCCGGAATCTTCAAACAGTTTCTGGTACTGGTCGTCTGTCATGTGGAGGTCAGGGTGAATGTCGTCATCTTCAATTTCTCCGCTGTCGTCATTGTCGTATTGCACAAAAATGGCATCGTCCCCAATACTATCCATAGAATTACTGAGGCAACACATTTTGTGTGAGCGTATGCTAATTGCTGATGAAATATCCAACCACGCTTCTTTTGCCCACTCTGCAATTGTAACAACGTCAACCTTTTTCACATTGCCACGCTTCGTCAAGGCTAAATCGGACGATGCCATCCACTCAATACATGTGGCCCGAAACCCATCTTTAATTGGCTTATTGAGACAGACATCCAGTGGCTGCAAGGATGATGTAAGTTCACCGAGAGTTAAAGACAGGGACGACTTCATATCACTGCATCGTTTCTCAGTTCGGTGTGCCCTAAATGAATCCCAAACTAGCATAGATGGCTTCTTTAAAAGGGCACCGCTTCGCTTTCTCCAAACTGTATTCAGCCCGTTTATAGTGCCACTCTCGTCCATCCATCCTTTTGCGTGAGTCCGCGCAAACACGCCGCTTGGGAATTACGCTCTTTTAGGAAGCGTCATATGCTTAGAAATAATGAAAGGTGTTAGACGGGAACCATCCGCCATACACCCTAACACAACTGTGCACCGTGTCTTCTCGTGTTTCGTCGTTTTTACTAAAACAGTGTAAGCACCTTTCTGATTCACCCTGTGATTTGAAAGCATGTCCAAGTACACAGGGGTCTCGTCCACATTTCCTATTTGGGACGGTTCAAAGTCCTACTGCTTTCTCAGCTGAATCACGAACCTTGGAAAAGATTCAACTTCACTATCCAATTCCCTCGACAGTTTCTGGGCTAGTGTTGTGCGGGTCTGTAGACACGTCGAATCGATCCATAAAACGATTGTATCCTCCGGAGGAATCAACAAAATTCACCGGTTTTGTTGGTTGGAATTCCGGACTTTTGAACATTGTGAGCGCCCTGATCCGAGTGATCGTTCGGATAACAATTAATCCGCTGTGCCGTGACTCCATACCCTACTGCGCTATCTTTTCCTCCAGTGCAGGAAACGGTTATTCTAACGCGTGCTGCACTCCTTACCTACAAACACTGGCGACAAATCTGACTTTTCCTTTTGCCATTCTCTCACTTGCTTTTCATTCACCGTGGATTAATGTGTAGCCATACAATTATTAGATTGCTCACTACACGCGATAACTTTCAATTTAAAGCCAGCAGCACATGGACATCGTTTCTATCCAGACACTTTTTACCTTTCCACGGCTTTGGAATGTCGCACAAAATGGGGGCACATTTCCTCTCAGCGTTAGCGCTATAATGGTTAGCGAATCACAGCGCTTATATATGCTAGTCAATCTGGCGCATTAAAAATCTAACCTCCAACGCCACTGATCGTGAATTTCCCTCTCACCCGCTGCTCCACTGCGATTTAGGTGCATGAGGCCCCCGAACATGCGAGGCGGTGTCTGACATACCCCATATTTTCGGCTGTCTTACCGGTTTCGTGTGACGTGATATCTAAGCAATACTGTTCGGTGCGGTTAAAATCCTTGTTCTAAAGGCTTGAAGCCGCATTAACTGCGACCAAAACACATTTGGTCGCGATAACTGACCAATAGTAGAGCAGGTTTCGCTTGAGCACACTCAAATGGGAACAGGTAGTGATGAATTCCAACTCGTGAGAAAATATGTTCTTTCCTTTTTGTTGATTTTTTTGGCTCTTCTAATATACGGACTTAGGCTTTTGGACAAATTTGACGTTGCAAAGTCATACTTTCTGCTTATATACGGATCGGCTTACGCACGATAATATACGGTACACAATGGGAACAAATGATAAATAGTCCCTGTGTGACCGCAGTATATCTTCCTGACAGAGTTCACACATATTTCCTGTTAGCATATGACTGATGTGGCACCGTCTAGGTACATACCTAAACCGATGAGGTGATTCAAGCAAATTTCGACTATACCTCTTATATTTTTGTATTGAATACAAATCCGGAAGATTTAGTCCGGTGTTTTGAGATCATTGCTCCATCGATCATTTTTATGCCCATTTGTATACTTAGCCTTGTTAATGAAAATCATTTAGCAACTTAACTGTTGCTAATGTGAAATGTTGAAAGTGCACCCATTTGGATACATAAAACTTATACCGATTTGCTTTGACTGTTTATATACTTTCTGGACCAAGTGCTCAGAGGCTTATTCAAGCAAATGAACAGAACTCGGAAAATTCATGAGTAGCTCACTTGCCTTCGACCCGGTCAGTCTTTTCAAGTTGCATTTGTTCTCTTGCACGAAATTGCGCAATATGGGTGAGGGGAATGGTGGTTTACAGTAACCAGGGCTCCAAACGAGATCGCCACTCCTGCTGGACACTGATGATGTGTTTTTGCTGCGAAGTTGACAGAATTTGCACGGTCTCGGCGGCAACCTGGTGATACTGTTAAAAGAGGTACTTCACAATTCACATCTATTTTTATTGCAATACGGAGAAATTTGCTTGCATGTTATATGGACACATGATATTTCTTGTATTGAAAAATGTGTGATTAATCTAGGATGCAACAATAAACCAGTAGTGGGTAACTAATATCAGTGATGTGGGTCTTAGTATTCATGAGCAACGCCCCTTCGTTCTATCACTCTAAACTCTGTTCGGAAAATCTAGTTGTCATAACTAACGTTGCCATGATGATGAGAAAAGACAGTAGTGGATGGAAGTCAAAGTACAGTACAAAAGCGATCGATGACATTTATGGGAGAGTGTTTGGAACTGTATGTACGGTGTGGGACACACAGAAGCACCACTGACGCTGCGGCTGTGGAGTATCACACAGTCGCCGATCTACGGGATGGCTGATTCTGAGATCCTCTCCATAGAGATGACATTTACAGCCCTTACTAATCATACCAGCGAACTCCCTTATTCATTTCTGCTATGTCACCTACTGGTCATTTAACATCACTACTCAGCGGCGGTAAATAATGCACACCGACATAGGCGATCGACAAGCAAGCTGAGGGCAAGGTCTAGTCAACATAAGTTTCGGAGATTAACAGACACAAGTCTCTTTCTAAGCTGCCTTGGCAGCCTTCAGTAACACGCACTTGGTACTTTTACCAAATACGGGCGCCACTCTGTACTCGTCAATTATCTAATATGAAGGTAGCTTAACTTAGTCAGCGTTCACCTGTACAGCAACAATTGCTTCAGTGCAACTCTTTCGTTGCATTTCTCCGCTGTTGCAAACCTGCGTCACCTGTGGCTTCGTCGTGACCTCAGCCTCGCTCTCAAGGGAAAAGGCTATAATTCTATGGTACCAGTGATTCTGCTGTACGGCTCTGAGACTTGGCCCGTTCGCAAAAGCGATGTTCAGCGGCTATCTGTTTTCGACCACCGCTGCCTGCGAAATATTGTTGGTGTTCAATGGCAGCATTACACCAGTAATGAGAAAGTCTGTCTGCGAGTCTTCAGATATAATAAACTTCGCTGATAGCTTGATAGCATCACTTCACTGCGGAGGCTTTGCTGGCTTGGGTATGTGCTCCGCATGTCTACCCAGCGGCTACTACAACGAGGCCTATTTGCGAACACAGGCGTGGCTTGGAAGTGACGAAAAAGAGGGCAATGTAAAACTTGCATCTAATGCGTTAAGACACAAACGTTGAAGCTGACCGTTGTCACGCGTTCTCCACACCCGGATTAGGGACCAAAGGACCCCTAACAGATCTGGTTGCAAACGATGGAGGATGTGGCCAAGGACCGTACGCAATAACGCACTTGCTGTGAGACTCTTCTACCCTAACAGTTATTTTCTATTTCAAGCTGTTTTTTCCTCTTATTTGTTCTGGCACAAACAATTATATTGTAATTGGCATAGTGTTTAAATATATATATATATATATATATATATATATATACAAATAGTTGGCGGCCAGCCACAGGACGCCTGCGTCTACAGAGGGACCATGCGTAGCTTGCGCTGCACTACCCACAGCTCCAACCACACATCCCATATCCAGTGTAAACCCGAAGGAATAAGACCGGCAGGCATGTGGATGGGAGCCACGTTTCATCAACGGACCCAGCTAACACTCCTTCACAAGCTAAAACAAGCACGCTGTATTTGGGAATCAAGCGCACACAAGGCGGTGGCTGGACCGTAGTCCGCTCCACACTGAGTGCATGGAACCGCTCTTCGAGCCTAGCGCGGCCACAAGGACGGTGCGTCTTGTCCCCTCTAGCAGCGACTAACTGTCTCCTGGAGCCTGTATGGACGACGTAGTGGGTAATAGACCGGTAGGAACCTTATCAACATGCACATCAATCGCAGTCACACCGTGGATATCAAGTAACAGCCAATCACTTGAAACAACAAGCTGAAATAAAATAAATCCAATAATGCATACAGATACGGTGGCATAACTCTGCACTAAATTAGCATATGAATTAAGTTAGTTAGCAACGATTCCGCGATAAGTAAAAAATGTCCACAAGTTACTTGACAATGCTACAAACGCAACACTGATACCAAAGATAAGCGCAATTAGTGTAAGCAACGTGGCCAGTTAATAGAAAATTATCCAGGTAGGCGGAACAAACCAAAGAAAGTGGAATGATTTTATCCAGCTTAAAAACACATTGTTTAAGTGTAAGTTGACTTAGCCCAACTGTGGTGAAGGAGCATCAAGAACAAAACCACAGCGTCAGCGTGGGGCATATATATATAAATATATATATATATATATATATATATATATATAAATTCGTCTTGTTCTTTAATGGCAGGCAGATATTTCATGAATTCCATGACATATTTTACTACTGGAAAGCTACGTGAACTCTGTTACTTTGTGCACTGACTTTTATTTTCTCCACTTACCAGCGGCAATATAACAAGTAAAGTATTTGAACGGGTCCACCAGTTCTAATGGTCAGCCGATACCTGCCAGGACGAGTGTCCCGTTCTGCAGCAGCATCTCACATTATGATGGCACGAAGATATGCTAAGGCGTCAATCTGTCCGAAATTGCTGTTGGAGTGGATGGATTCCAGTCAGGGTGGGCTACGTCGTTTGCACGCTCTGAATTCGTCAGTCTACCGGGAGCTCAAGGCCCAATCCGTAGAAGTCTGAGGAAACGACTCCAACTACTAGCATCTTGATTTAAGTTCTAGGAGAAAAGACGTATGATTCAACCTGAGTATCAGGAGGTGGCGGTGTTCCACTGTACCCTCTCAGGGATTTTAGTCGCATTTGGTATAGCAAGTGAAACAGTTCATCCAAATATTATGTTGTCCTTCACTGTGCGATCTCCAGTGCAGCCAGGTTGCGTTTTAAGAGCGCTGCCAATCCTGGATCGCATACTCTTCACGGGGCCCCATGTACGCATTAAGCATTTGGGGGAAGATGGAGGGATCGCAACTCACGGAAGACATCTGTTAAGACCAACAGGTGGGTTTAAGGTTTTTATCATGTTTTCCAGCTCAGAAATGCTGTTGAGAATTATCTTCATTTGTGACTGAGAAGACGGAAACAGGTTTATTCAAAGACTTAGTCTTAGTCTTGATGACACATGTGGCTGGGCCTTGGCCACACGAGGC